TTTAATTTCTGTGTGAGAGAGAGAGAGACAGTGTGAGCAGGGGAGGATCAGAGAGAGAGGGAGACACAGAATCTGAAGCAGGCTCCAGGCTCTGAGCTGTCAGCACAGAGCCCAGTGCAGGGCTCGAACCCACAAACCATGTGATCATGACCTAAGCTGAAGTCAGACGCTCAAGCGACTGAGCCACCCAGGCGCCCCTGATCTATTTCCTCTTGAAATTCTTAGTGGAAAGCAACACCCGTCCCCTTTATTTTGTGCTCCCCCAGTCTGTTGTCTGTTGGAACTGTTGCCTTCTTGTTATTTCTACCGACATCCACTATTCTTAAACTCAGTGGTCTAAGGTCTTAGGAAGAGGGTGCTGGGACCCTGACATAGCCATGCCCTTTGTGAAGACTAGTCTTGCTTCCTCCAAATCTGTGGCCCGTTTCAATGGAAACATTGTATCCTTTTCTATCTAAAGTAGCTTTCCCTTTCACACCATAATCCCAAGTTTTTCTTCCTCTGCAATCCATTATGGTCAGTCCCCCAAGCTTTTTGTAATGTTCGCAGGCAGTATTGGGGAGAAAAACACTCTGGGAATGGGGATGCTGGTGTGGTGAACATTGTCTAGTTTTCGAGACTGCTGTTTTCTACAGAACGAAACATTCAAAGCTGAACATGATCTTTTGTACCCGCCCTCTTCTTTCTTGGAGATCATAAGCCTCAGGGTTTAACCTTGATGGCAGGAAGGATAAACAAAAGAAACCAGTTTCAAGATAAAGAAAAGTACATTAATAGGCATTGAAGAATATTATCCTCTTCACTCTTAATTTCTTCAGAACTTAGAAAATAGCATTTCCATAGAATTTGATTAACAATCTGGAACATTATTTTGCAGTAGGCTTAAAAGGTATTAAAATAGTGGTTCTCAAAGTGTGATCTTGAACACAGAAGAGGGTGGTAGGTCCCTGAGATCCGTTGAGGTTCCTAAATCAAAACTGTTAATGCCAAATATTTACTTTTTTCATTCTCTTTCATGAGTATAATGTAGTTTTCCAGAGACCACATGCAATGTGATACTGTAAAAGATTGAATGCAGAAGCAGATGTGAAAATCTAACCTTTTAATAAGCCAGACATTAAAGAATGCCATTCTTCTAAAATTCTTACAAGTTATTTTTAATAAACCATGCTATTTAAAAACTTTTTTAGGGGCACCTGAGTGGCTCAGTTGGTTAAGCGTCCGACTTCGGCTCCGGCCATGATTTCACAGTTCGTGGGTTCGAGCCCCGCGTCGGGCTCTGTGCTGACAGCTAGCACGGAGCCTGGAGCCTGTTTCAGATTCTGTGCCTCCCTCTCTCTCTGACCCTCCCCTGCTCACGCTTTCTCAGAAATAAATACAAAACATTTAAAAAAAAAAAAGTTTTTAAACATGTTTATTAAGAGACAGAGCATGAGGATGGGAGGGGCAGAGAGAGGCAGAGACACAGAATCCAAAGCAGGCTCCAGGCTCTGAATTGTCAGCACAGAGCCTGACTTGGGGATCGAACTCACAAACCGTGAGATCATGATCTGAGCCAAAGTTGGACACTTAACCGACTAAGCCACCAGGTGCCCCTAAACATGCTATTTATAGTAACATGTAATGGGTTATCTTATAAAGTAATAATTTAAAATTTTCTTATTTTCTAATATGGTAAATACCAATATGAATTCACATAAACAACCCTTGATTTTTAAGTGTAAAGAAGACCTAAACGCTGTAAGTGTAAAAACCAGTGAATTCTTGGAATTTAACATTTTAAGTAAGAAACACCTGCCCTTTTCCCCTTATAATAATCCCAAACTAATCTTTTCCTGAAATCTCTCCCATTATTCCTTAGTTCCTGTCTTATCACAACATCTAATATAGCTATTGAACAAATGAATAAAAGACCAGTGGATTTGTCAAGTGGTTACTGTAATATACTTTTAATCTGTAGAGGTGTTTGCAAACCAGAATATAGAAGGCAGAATGTATAGGATGAACACAGAACTTGAAAGTTAAGAATTTTGATGACAAGGGGCATGTAGTGGCTCAGTCAGTTGAGTGTCTGACTTTAGCTCAGTTCATGATCTCATGGTTGGTGGGTTGGAGCCCCACAGGGCTGTGCTGACACCTCAGAGCCTGGAGCCTGCTTCGCATTCTGTCTCCCTCTGTTCCTCCCTCACTTGTGTCGTCTTTCTCAAAAATAAACATTGGGGGGAAAAAAAACCTTGGCAAAAAAATGTTTTCAAGTTTTTGATGATAAAACTTTAAGGTGACTCTGGCAGAAGTATATAAAGCATATTTTAAAGGAATATACTAAAATTGTTTACTTGTATCATTTTCTCCCCAGAGATTCCTTCAGTCGGATGAGCCTACGTAAAATGGATCTTTAAAATAAATGCACTTGTCTTACTCATTTGAAAAGAGCCATGTATTCAACATTGAGTGTGGAAAGAAGTTAAGATCCATTGAAAAACAAGACTTGGGACTTGGAGATTCTAGCATTAATTTACTACTCATTGAAGAATGCAGTGGCCAAAACATTATCAAATGTAGATCACTGAAGTTTGAGAATCATAGCCATGGTTTCTCATGTTCTGGTAATATGCTGTTCTTTTTTTAAAGACTCAAAAGTAATGACTCACTATACATTTACTATTATTTATACCATAGCTAATGTTAAATTTATTTACTTTAAGTTTGTATTTTTTAATTTATATTACCATTTATAGATTCATTTTGGAACGATTTTAAATGTAGTAATGCTTATTTTAAAGGTACTATTAAATCTGTGAACGTTTACACTAATTTTACGGAGTGAGACTTTAAAAAATTTTGTTGACAAAAGCAGAAAATCTTGAATTGATACAAGAACTAGTTCCAAAACTAGCAAAAATGAAATGAAATTGACCTTTTATAGGCCAAAGAGCCCCCAAATTAAATAAATGGTAGGGAAGAGACAGATATTGATAAGTGGCTTGTGAAGTCTTAAAACTAGTTTCTAAAAATAAAAAATAAAAAACCTGGTTTCTAAGCTATTTTCCATTTAGACACCCAAAAAAACAAATTGCAGAAATAACTTTATCTGATGAAACTTCCGTCTGTAAACAATGATTAAAAACTGGGATAGCTGCTGCCAGTGACAGTAGCTAAATCTTTCTCAATCTGATAGTATGCACTTCATGACTCTCCGCAATTAACATGGAAGATTTCTAGGTTTCAGATAAACGGCTGGTCTTTTCGTGAGTTTAGTGATCTAAATCAGTAAATCAGAAATCTGCTTTAAAGCTGTCTTACATCACCATAAAACTGGCAGAGAGCTAGTGTTCGATTTTAATCTACCAGTTGAATGAGAAGTTATGTAAAAAGTAAAATTAGCAGTTTCAATTGAAATTAAGTAGTCATTTAAAATACAGGACATGAAAAACTAAGGCAAAAATTGTTTGGAAAATATTTTCAATTACTTGGCAGGTTTATCCAAGAAACTACCTATTAATAATCTTCTAAGGAGTGTTTTGAACAATGTGTTTTTCTTTGTGTAGTATCTTATAGAAAGACATCTTAAATATCCCTTTGATCCATTGACCAGACATGAATCACTTAAAAACTGATCAAATACAGTGCCTTTATTCTTTAGTTGATGTTGAAACAAGATTCAAAAATGTCTCCTTCTCCTGAGAGCATAGGAAATGGTTGATAGCCTTTCTCCAGCTTACCTTTATAACTGGCAATTCTACGTCACATTCATCTCATCCACACCTATTCAAAGCCTGAATCACAAAAAGATTTTTCAGAGTCAACAGTGTTGGACCAAAAGGGTTGTGAACTAAGGAGTCAGAAAGGCATAACCTCAAAAATATATTTGGGGACAGAGGATCCATATGCACAATGACCAGCAGTCAAGACTGGAAACTCCTTAAAACTAAGGTAACAAATACCCTCATCTTTAGGGCAAGGGATGGGGGAGGTGTACATAAGAGAAAGAATATTAAATAACCTGTAAGTCATTTCTAATTAAGTTATATTATGGAAGAGTTTAAATTGTTTCACATGAATCTCAGTGACAGTATCAAGAACTCTAAAATTTTTATGATTTAACTATCATGCAGTCCTAATTATTCTCTGACAGAAGAACAGGCTTCCTCTGAGAACACTGATAGGATACCGAACACTGCTCTCCACATACTTCAGTTTTCTTAAAACTTAAACTTTATCCTATCAAGAACCTGTACCAGTAGTTCTTAACATTGGCAGTTTCTGGAGCAGGAGAGGCCCAGGCTCTGTCCTGTAACTACTCTATCAGAAGCTTAGGAGTAGCGTTCAGGGTGGTTTTGTTTTAAAATTTCCGTTAGTGATTATGAATGTAAAATGAGGTGAGAACCGTGACTTTTTGTATCACACCATCCTGTGGAAGAATATAAGACATGACTTAACTGTATGACTAATTTATTAGTTGACAGGTACTTATTTGTTGAAATGGGAGTATCAGAGTGTTATTCTAATAGTATTTGTATAGTCTTTAGACTAGGTTTTAATGTCTTAGCAAGTCATAAGGTCACTTACCAATTTAATATACATTTAAAATGAAAATTTAACATTTTTGTGCCCAAAGCATCATCTTACAGATTCCATAAAGTTATGTCTACTCTAAAGGGCAACTAGAATGCGACAATTTTTACTATAAACCTCTTTTAAGTATGACAACTTGGATGGAATAAGTTTCTCCTATTCGAAAAATCTCTTCATCTCCGACTAAGTATTATTAAAGGTAATAATGCATGTTTATATACATATACATTATACATACATATTCTCAAGAGAGCTCAGCTATATTATGGCAAAAAATATGCAAGTAAACAAGTATGAGCAGTTTTGTATGTAGTTAAGCAGTTTAAATTTTATTGACCTCCCAGTTTTTAAAAAAAGTTAGATTTAAGGTCACACACCTCTCTAAATCTGATATACTATATACAGATCGTGCAGAATATGACTATGAAGAGATACAAATTAGTCCATGCCCGAAAAGATTTACTAGAATACAGAATCATTTTCATAAATACATATAAAATTCTTCTCAAGCTGTCCAGGTTTTCTGAGACACTTTTCAAAGTGATTCAAGGCACAAAATGTACACTACTGTGAATACACACATACTCCAGACTTTGTGCCTCTAAATACAGCCCATTAAAGGTCTGGCTTCATGACTTAAAAAACTAAAGGTACTGAAATGAGACTCTTCTTAGCTGGAAAACCACAGGACCTATAAACATCATATAGATAATTACTCCAAAATATGGAGATACAAATACAAGCACTTTATTTTAAAAAGCAAACACAAAAGATAGGTGTGAATTCAAAAGTGTTTACATGTTTCCATTTGGATAATTCAATTAAGAACCTATACAAGTTTGTTCCCAGAAGCTAATGCATCACTAGTCTCTACTATGGGAAATGAATTCTAAAAATTAACATGGTTTTCAGTAATTCAAATTTCACTATTTATATAAAAACCTTAGAGAGACCAATAATACCCAATAGCTTCAAAAGATAAGCTAGACTCTGATGTAGTCAACTTTACCTACCAGCTTTTGTCCAGGTCTGTTTAATATATACATAAGGAAAATACTCTATAATTTCTTATAAAATAGCAAGTAAGGAGTAGATGTGGGAGATGTAGAAGGGGAAAGAGAATTCAAGAAGTCCTTCTCTTCAGTAACTTTTACTTCAGAATCATCAAAAAGTAACCACTTCCCCTCATACTCCTTTAAACTTTGCACTACATATGAAATTTTGTTCTCAAATCCAGTGAAGTTAATGCCTGTTTGGTCACTGGAATCCTTGTTTGTATCAAATTCATGGGTCCCATTAGTACTGTCAGTCTCAGAATTTCTATTTTCAGCAAATGCTGTACTGGCAACTTTATCAGGATTAGATGCTTTGTTGTATAGCTCATAATCTGCTTTGCTCTTTTGTCCTCCAAGAAGTCCAACAGCTTCTACATTTTTTTTGTTCAAAACTTTGCTTGGCTGTGTATTTCCACTGACTCTAATTGACATTTCTTCATCATAATTTTCAACCACACCCCTTGCTTCCTCCTCATTCAATGGTTCTGGTTTACCTATTTCACACATCTGGTCAATCACAAAATTTCCCTTATCTAGTTCTAAACTGTTAAGGTCAGTGACTTTAACAGAAGCAGTGTAATGCCCACTACTGATGGTAATGCCGCTATGCATCACAACCGCAAATAATCCATAGCTGTCGTTGGTTGGCTTTGTGCTCCATTCTTCCAGTGACAGTTTAAGAGGTGTCAGTAAAGGAGTGTTGATCTTGGAAAGTCCGCCACCATAACAATCAAACCTTTGGGAGGAAAAAAAGAAAGTTTTCTGCAATTCCACTTTACATATTCACTTTTACACCCAAATGTGAAACCAAGTAGAAGTCTGAATGACTTGGTGCTCACATAAACAAAAGTAAGACCCTAATTTTGCATATTTATAGTATTTAGATAAATATTGTAGTAAGTGCTATATTTAATTAACGTTTGTTTATGAGATGAAGGGCAGAGAGAGATGGAGACAGAGATTCCCAAGCAAGTGCCTCACTGTCAACACGGAGCTGGACATGGGGCTCAAACTCAAACTGTGAGATCATGACCCTGAAGTGAAATCAAACAGGATGCTAACTTAACCAACTGAGCCACCCAGGTGCCCCTTTACTTTCATGAGAAAGCCAGTGTTTCTTAAAATACAATTTAACTTCAGAATCCTTTAGTAAGTAATTTTAATGTGACAGCTGTCTCATTAAAACTGCAAGATTTGGGGAACAAAAACAGGAAAGAAAAAAATCCACTGAAAGAAAGCACTGTATGTCCTCTTCCGGAATAATAAAGTGTGTAGAGCTACTGGAAGCCTTCGTACTAACTTCAAACATTTCATTAATATAGGAAGGAATAAGACCTACGATGACATGTATACATGGCACAAAGGTACTTAAATTTTTAACAGAAGAATCAAAAATCTTCAAAGACTAGTTTGATCTGTGGCTTACCTTAAATATAATTTTGCCTTTTTCACCCCTCAAAAAACCTTGATATATACAAGATCTGGTTCCTGCTTTAATCACTTCAACTTGAAACTGTGTCTGATAAAAATGAAGATTAAAAGATGTGGGAAGACCCCTAGACTATATATTCATACCAAAAGGATTTAAGCTGATGCATTTTACAAGTAAACTGTTAACCTTAGACAAGTTTGTTCTCTTATTATCTTTATAAACTACTTCAGGACCTTATATTATGCTATTACACTATGTTGTTACTATTACAGTATTTTGAACAAAACTTCTTATACCAGCTCATTTCTTTCATAAAGCTTTTATTTATAATACTCACTCCAAGCCACTAGCAGCAAAGCACTTCAAATGAATAGTTATAACTTCAGGCATTTTGTCAAACAAAAGACTTCGTTCAGCTTCAGTATAATGACGGCAATTTTCACAGAAATATTTATCTTCTCCTACAATCCTCTCCACTGAGGCAAACTGTGAAATTGCCCATCTCAGGGTCTTCATTTCTGTTTTTGGCTCTGGAGAAACTATAGAAGAGAATCCTTTCACTCACTAATGAAAAACCTCTCAGACATTTAAAAATTAAGCAATTTCTATGTTCAAAATTATCATGCAATTTCATTTGACTAATCCTTCCCAAAAGTAAAGACATTTCTTTTTAGTTTCAGAAACTTAAGCTCATCCTCAATAGGACACATATCTTCTAAATATTTATACTTGGCCAGCCAAGTATAAAGTATTTAGGTGATAAGGCCAGCAAAATGATAACCTTAGTCTCTGATTCAATGCTAAGACAGACTTTAGTTTACACTTTAATGGCCAACTTCCGATATCTGAACAGGTAAGCCAGTCTCATGATCACTCCCTATAAACGTTTCCCTACTTTTTGTCATTTTATACTAAACAAAACAGCGGCTCAAATATTGTGAACAAAAATATTTCCTGTAGCTCTAAGACTGGGGTACCTAAAACTTATTAAAGCATTTCTTTTCCCATTATAACATACTCTACACATCAAAATAAAGATACCACAATCTTCCAAATATTAACTTAACAACTGAGTCTACACGAGCAGAAGATATTATTATACCACATTTTTTCCCCATAATTACACAAGTTACTATTAGACTGTTTTTTTGAAGAAAACTACTTATTCCATCATCCATATAAGACTCCAATTTGCTTACTTTCAGAACTCTCCTCTACTTTGGAAAGCTCATCTTCTTGTACTGGCACACTGATGTCCTGAAAATCTTCTCTTCTTTCTGTTAAACTTTCACATTCTAAGCAACGAGTCCTTAATACCAGCTGACCTTGAAATAATTTCTCTACTAGCTCAAAACCAATTTGCTCTGCACCTAAAACAAAAACAGGAAAATTTTTCAGCTCAGCACAACCCAAATAACCAATATTTCATTTCCAGTGTATCATGAATAAAAGGCTGATTTTTACATCTAAACTTGCTTATTAACATTAAGTATCTTATTCATGATACATAAATTCCCTGTAAAGATACTTTTGAATATGAATTACTGTTGTCTCTAAAAAAGAAAGTCACAATTGTGTCATCTTAACTCCCTTCCAAAAAAAACTCCTATAGAAACCCCCCAAAAAAGCATGACCCCTTTGGTAAAACCATTAACCACATCAATACCACACATTTCCCGTTGAGAGCTGGACGCAATTAGGTAGATGTCCAGTTCAACTACAGTAGAACTACTTAGTTCTCTAAAACTGTATTTCATTAAATGCAGTATCTTTCATGAGGTTTATTGTCCAGTACTACATATGGAGGGAGTAAAATAATTTTCTTTCCATTGAAATGTAAGGAATTCCTCTTGTTTATAAGCCATAAATTACCATACCTTAAGATTATTGAGATTTATACACACACATCTGAGCACAGTGGTTAAAATACCATACAGTTCGCCTTCAGTGTTAAAATTTTCTTACAAGTTGAACCACATTTATATTGTACATGTATCTAAGAGAACACTGCAGTTCTGCAGCTGTTAATCCTCCTACCTATCAATGTCTAAGAATAAATTATACTGACCTTTGTTTATGGGCTTAACTTCATTAACATTAACGGACTTAACATTATTCCCTGGAGATTCAAGTTCACAACCATTAGTTGTGTTTTCATTTTCACACTTCCCCAAGTCCTCTTCAAGATCATATTCATTTTCTTTCGACTGTCCTTTGGATCCCTGGTTTGTTGTTATTTTCCCCAGACTACAGAATTTAGAAAGAATGCTGGGTTGCTTAGCTGCAGGCTTTAACCAATTTATTTTAACTCTTGATTTCTTTTGTGAGGGTCTTGAACTTTCATTTTCAGAAACATACTTGGGGATTATTTTAGAAGGAATCTCTAATGTATCACCTGTAGCTTTCCTTTTTGATCTGGTTTGTCTCTGGTTCTCTTCCAATGACTGGTGTTCCTTGGATGCTTTAATTTTTTTCTTTATGTTACCAAATTCAATGTCATTTTTTCTTTTCCCATTTCCTTTTGGGAGTTTTTCTTTATAGTCTTCAGAATGCCTCATACTGTCCATCTCTATGGTGTTAATACCACTCATTTCCTCCTTCTGATGAGGTTTTTCTTCTACCTTAGTAGATAATTCTACCACATTTTTTACTTCTTCTTTTTTTAGGAGTTGGCATGTTTCTTGAATGTTTCCCAAAATACACTGTAATACTTCCTGTGCATCATGCTGTAGATATCCTTCATACATAGGGTTGAGTTCCCTATAAATAAAAATTTCCATTTTATCTATTCTAGTTTTGAAGATAGAATATAAAAAAACACATCCTTTCTATAGAGAAATTCATTTAGAGGGATATCAAATTATTTTAAAAACCTGAAAACATTTATTCAACTAATTTGAAACTTAACTAAATTGTAATTAAAAAAAGAAAAACAAATTTTACCTCATTCATTTCACAAATAAATACTAGTAACAGCTAGTATTTGTATAGTTTACCATGTACCAGGTTTTATTCAAGATGCTTTTTATATTAGATGTAGAACATAATTCTCTCTCACAATAACTCCTTCAGGTAAGTACTGTATCACCATGATTTACAGATAAGGTAGCTTGCCCAAGGTCAAAGACCTGCAAAGCCAGGATGCAAACCTGCTCTTGGCCAACAGGCTACACTGCCCATTAACAAACATGTAATAACTACACCTAGATTTTTTTTTTTTTTTAACTTTTAAGTAATCTCTACACTAAATGTGCGGCTTGAACTCAAAATTCTGAGATCAAGAGTTACGTGCTCTACCAACTAAGCCAGCCGAGCATCCCTCACCTAGGTCTATTCTTTTTTTTTTAATCTTTTTTTTTTTTTTTTTTTCTGAGAGAGAGAGAGAGAGAGAGCGTGAGCAGGGGAGGGTCAGAGAGAGAGGGAGNCGCATCTGGGGTTGCCCAGTCCCACGTGTCATTTGTCATGACAGTCGAGCTGCAAAGAGGCCCTGCAAAGGGGAAGCGAAGACTTCAAACGTGACGCTTAACCTACAGCTTTATTTTTATTTATTTATTTATTTATTTTAAATTTTTTAATGTTTTATTTATTTCTAGGAGAGAGAGAGAGAGAGAGACAGTGTGAGCAGGGGAGGGTCAGAGAGAGAGGGAGTCACAGACTGAAACAGGCTCCAGGCTCTGAGCTGGCAGTCAGCACAGAGCCCGACGCGGGGCTCGAACCCACGAACCGCGAGATCATGACCTAAGCGAAAGTCGGACGCTTAACCGACTAAGCCACCCAGGCGCCCCAACCTAGGTCTATTCTTAAACTAAGTAACTTTTTTAAAGCCTTACCCTGTAACATTAGGTAAGGCTATTTATATATTGAGTATCATTTCATTCAAGACAAAAGAATCTAATCCAGTTAACTAATAGTTATGCAAGCACATACAACAAAACTGGAACATTGGAATTTATAGTTCTTATGCAGAATATATTTTGAATAAAAACCTCTAAGTGCTAACCTTAAATCTCTTATGACCAAATCTGAGAATTCACTAATTTTCAGACTAAAAAAAATATGGCATGTAACAAATTTTTTTTAACCTGAGAAGGGGCAGTATCCCATAATTAAACATATTACTATTTCTACTGAAAAATGTATGAATATTCACATTATAAATAAAAACAGACTATTAATACCAATTCATATCTTATGAATTTAGTACCAAACTTACAAAAAGATTTCTAATTTCCAGAGCCTCTGGGATACCAGAGACTGAAGGATCTGTAGTTTCTATTTTCCTGGCCCTTCACTCCCCCTGTTTGTTTACATATCACTCTCCTCCAAAGAAAGCAGGAAGTTGCTAAGTTGGAATCCTAAAATTATATCATAGGCTATACCTGAGTGTGTTAAGCAGTCGCCTTGGCTGAGTAGCAAGTTCATCAGTGTATTTCTCTGGATTTAAGAGAAAGCTAGCCTGAAGCTGTTCAACTGAAATGATCAAGGACTGTAAACTGCATATTAGTTCATAACTTGCCAAAGAATCTTCCTTACAATTTCCCTGTCAAGAAAGAAACACACAAACCATTATTTTTATTTATGAACAAATTGAGCACCTTCCCCTTTTCTTGTCTTTGTTTCACTAGACAATACTAGCTTGGCCAAATTTAATTTCATTCTAATTCTATGGAGGTATACAAACTTTAAAATTTTCTGAGTATTTTTTTATTATTTTCGATTATGGGAAAGATAATGGTTTTCTGATTATGTAAGTCAAAGGTTGTGAGTGAATCTGAAAATATATAAATAACAGGTGATACAAGGGTGCAATAAATTAGAGGGCAAGAGAAGAAGACACTGTAGAAGGTGAAAACCTAGGTAGCTAACCTACAAGAATGGAAAACAATTGCCTTTCTTGAAAACACAGGATACTAAAAAATTCAATTTCAAAGAAATAGTCTGTTATCCTCTTCCCAAATCCTGTGTTATCTATTACTTTTTAATTTCTAAGCAAGTGAATGTCCATTACTTTACTTTTTGTACATTTTCTGTTCTTTTTTTACCTTATCTTTTTGACTGGCTTCATCTTTTAGGGCTTCTTTCTTCCTTGAAATAATGTTAAATAAGTGCTTCACTCCAGATTTAAAACCAGGACAAAAATATAATACCTATAAAAAGTAAGAGTGTCTGAGTGTTTACTGAACAAACAATATAACTAAAATTATTAAAACGCTATGTTTTTTGTAGAGTATTAAATTTTTTTTTTTTTTAATTTTAACTTTGAGAGAGAGACAACACACGAGCAAAGAAGGGAGAGAGAGGGAGACACAGAATCCGAAGCAGGCTCCAGGCTCTGAGCTGTCAGCACAAAGCCCAACATGGGGCTTGAACTCATGAACCACGAGATCATGACCTGAGCCGAAGTCGGACACTCAACCGACTCTGAGCCACCCAGGTGCCCCTATAGAGCATTTTTAAATGTGCATTAGTTAAAATTCTGAAATTACTATTGTATGAAAAATTATATTTCATCAGAGAGGCTCACTGTCTTCCCTCACTGGAAGCAAGACACATATTGCTAGGACTTATGGTTCTAAGAGTACAACATAAAACAGAGTTCCAAAGGTTATGATACACATCATCGTAGCACTAGGAAGGCAGAAAAACCAAAGATTTGGCATCTTCCAGTTAACCAATGTCAATTCAATTTTGCTAGCCCAATTTTATTTAATATGTTACTTTCTCTTACCCCAAAGGAAGCTTGTAACATGTAATTTAGAATCAGTACTTTGGTTCATTCCAGTTCATTTACAATCAAAGGCAAAGACCATATGGACAACTAAAATACTCCAATCTGAAATTCTCAGAAACATTAAATGTTGTACCATGTTTTGCTTACTAAAGCTTTATTAATAGCAAAATTCTCAACTTACCTGAAGTATACTATTAAGATAACAAGTATTGCCGAGATTATTCAGTCCCACAAATGGTAGCAAGTTTTCTCTCTTCTCACAGTTTATAGGTGAGGACTGTGCTGCAGGAACAACTTGATCACTATAAAGTATAAGCAGAGAAGTATTATGAAGTATAGTTTCTTAAACAAAGATACAGTCTTTTCCCAAAAGTTGTATAAACCGAGATAGGGATTTTATTCAGGTGACACCTGAAGAAATATATACAGGTGGAAAAATTTCTACATATTCAGAATAAAAGTTTTATAAGCACTTTAAAACCATTATATACAACAAGCCTCCAACAATTCCTTCATGAGCTATTAATCCCATTTTAGAGAGTAAAATATTGAGGAACTGGTACTGTGATTAGTTAAACCTACGTAATTTTTAAAAATACTCCAACCCTGAACAGAAACCTGGAAATAAGCTGACTCTGACAATATCTCGGAGAGGATGCACCACCTAAGAGGTCAGATTCTGATACTAAGATTAAAAAGAATCTATAAAGAAAATTACACAGTTGTCCTTCACTTTAAAATGAATTGTTCAAGTTATAATTCTTTTAACTTACTTTAATAAATAATAGATCCTCACAGAATTTTTATTATTTTATAGCGGCTAGCTACTACTCTGGCACCTCAAGAATTTATAGCCATGCCAACAGACACATGAAACGATGCTCAGCCTCCCTCCTCATCAGGGAAATACAAATCAAAACCACACTGAGATACCACCTCACGCCAGTCAGAGTGGCTAAAATGAGCAAATCAGAGAACTCTAGATGCTGGCGAGGATGTGGAGAAACGGGCACCCTCCTACACTGTTGGTGGGAATGTAAACTGGTACAGCCCCTCTGGAAAACAGTGTGGAGGTTCCTCAGGAAACTAACAATAGAACTCCCCTATGACCCAGCAATAGCACTGCTAGGAATTTACCCAAGGGATACAGAAATGCTGAGGCATAGGAGCACATGTACCCCAATGTTCATAGCAGCACTCTCCACAATAGCTAAAACATGGAAAGAGCCTAAGTGTCCATCAACAGATGAATGGATCAAGAAGATGTGGTTTATCTATACCATGGAATACTACATGGCAATGAGAAACAATGAAATCTGGCCATGTGTAGCAACATGGATGGACCTTGAGGGTGTTATGCTGAGCGAAATAAGTCAGGCAGAGAAGGACAAATATCATATGTTTGCACGTATAGGAGGATTAGGAGGAACTTGACGGAGGAACAAGGGGGAGAAGAAGGGCGGAAATGGTGGGGGAAAGGGAGAGAGGCAAACCATGAGAGACTCTTGAGTGCTGACAAAAACTGAGGACTGATGGATGGGCATGGAGGAGGGCACTTTGGGGATGAGCACTGAGTGTTATGTGGAAACTAATTTGACAATAAACTATTTGTAAAAAAAAAAAAAAAAGAATTTATAGCCATGAATGCTGGTAAACAGAATCCTAAACTGATTATTGGTAAATACTAGGAAATTACACATGGGACCAAATCCATTTTAGTTATATAGAAGTGCACCTATTTGCTGAATAGCGAGGTAGTGTAGATTCCAACTCCAACTGTACTAAAGTATTCCATTTTGTTCAGATTTCAATCACTAAAGGATTTGCAAAGGATTTATTTTTATCTTACTGACAACTACATACTAACAGGTTTGATAATTCTATACACAAGTCTGTCAAGTCCTCTGAACCAAAAATAAAAATCATGTATTTCTTTACTCTTACACAGAATGTGTTACACTACAAATAAGTACAAATTGAATAATAATTTTAGCCAACAAATATTCTCCAAGTTAATCTAACCGGTTAACCATCAATGTAAATGGGTTAACATTATGCATGTGATCCTGTGGTGAACCAGCCAGTTTTGTGGTTTCTCAAAAAAAAATTTTTTTTTACCATTTAATTATTAAGAGGCAGAGACAGAGCATGAATGGGGGAGGGGCAGAGAGAGAGGGAGACACAGAATCTGAAGCAGGCTCCAGGCTCTGAGCTGTCAGCACAGAGACCAACAGGGGACTCCAACCCATGAACTGAGCTGAAGTTGGAGGTTAACCGACTGAGCCACCCAGGGACTCCTCCCCTCACCCCACACCTTTTTACGTTTATTTATAGTTTTGCTGTTTCTACTGTACACTGCTAGGTTGGTCTCACTGCTGTGTGTTTTTGCCTTCATAGACTATCAGGTCAAATTGGAGGTAACGAAGTTTGCTGCTTCTTCACTGATACGGAATTTTAAAAGTACAGAAATATACTTAAGATACATACATTTCAGATCCTCTATATTCAGAAGCCTTTTCTTCATTTTCTTGAGAATCTGTGAAATCCAAGGCTCTCTTAGTTTCCTTTTTCTGAAAAAACTTCAAGGAAAGTCTGTTTTTTTTGGATGGGCTACCTTTTGAAAGCCCATTACTTTCACTAGGTATGACACCAGGCATTTTCTCTTCAAATCCCAAGGAGTTGACAAGAATTAATTTATACAAGGATGTAATCACCAATCATATCTGTTAATCACAGAGAAAAGGTTTCATTATTTTCAATTATGAGCTGTAGGCAATAAGATCATTAAATTTTGAAAACTTACCAAGGAATGGTACTAATTAGATCTCCGCCTTTGAAAAGCCAATCCTTGGCCAATAATAAGCACTCAATGTTTACTGCTTAAATGAAGGAGCTTGTCATTTGTCCTTACCTTTCTTAAACAACCAAAAATATCAGATACTGAACTTTAATTATCCTAGGAGATTAAGGGTCACACCACAAAAGAGCCCCATTTTAGTGGACCTACAGTAAAGCAGTATTGAGTAAAAAGTTAACTTTTATTTTAATTCATTCAGAAAATATTGACTGAGCAAAGACCATCTCTAATTCTAAAGTCCCAGGTGAAAAAGAAAAGGATGAATGGGAAGTCAAGAGTGCTGGAAATGAAGGTGGTCTTCTTCCAAAGCCTCTTCTGGTTATTAATATGAATACATGAAATAAAGTCTCTAAAAAGGCATATAATTTGCACAAGTCACTATGTTGTACACCAGAAACTAATGTAACATTGTGTGTCAACTATACTCCAATTAAAAAGTTTAATTTGGATAGAAGCAGAGGCATAGATCTGGCTTTCAGTTATACCTAAAAATTTGAAAAGTAATAAAAGATGCAAAGTTGAGAAAGTGGTGCAAAGAACTGCTGCACTTTGTGCATACCGAATTGTTATGCACTAGACACGATATGCTGATTTTCCAAAACCTTTTTTTAAACTATCCATTTTGTTAAGTGCTCCTTTGAGTAGAAAAAAAGATTTTACCTTTTACAACCTTTTTCACTGTTAAAACTCTTGGATGAAATATTTGTGGTAGTTATTTTATACACATGTCCTATTTAAGATCTCTGGGGCAGGGGGGAATTATCTGGAGTATTAGAGAACAAAAGCTCAGCAATGATTTCAATACAGACACAGTAACAGGATGAACACAGAAACTAACAAAATTCACTCAAACTCCATCTTTGCTAATAAGCATTTCACTCCAAAGTCTCTGATCTGGGAATTCGCGACACTGGACTCGCTTGTGAAACCACACTTTGGAGATTCAACTCAGGAGTAACTGGAAAGTTGACCGATTTCCTCATCCCCCTGTCCAACTCAACTTACCCTCCTAGCCTTACTGCTACTGACAGAAAGTTATCATGAACGATAAACCAGCCTAGGTGAAGTTGTCTGGGATCTCTAAGCATTAATGATTCTCCTAAGAGATTTTTTTTGGAAGCCAATTCTTACAAATGATGGAAAGTGAATTCTCTATGAGACAGAGTAACCTGACTTAAACAAGCAGAAGGAAAAATGACCAACCGGGTGAAATAACGGATAAATCCTAAGCAATAATACCCTCCCGGCTCCCTCAAATTACTAACCATTTAACGTTATTGAAATTATATTTTTATCAGGTGCCGTATATTAGGCTACACCATGTTTTACTCCTGGCTTTACTACTGGGGGCTGTTACATCAAAAACATTTCTCCTAGAAGTCTAAATCAAATGTCGCAGAAAACATTAAATGCTCTTTAACAAATGACAATATGAACATTCAGTCCCATTAGTTTCAAGTTCTTCCCTTTATAAGACGACACGACTCCATGCCAATTTTTCACGAAATATGTAAAACAAGGAAAACATCCTCGACAAAGGTTTAAAACACGTGGCTTTCTAAAAACTTCTGGAAAAATTAAAGTGCGCGATAAGATTTAGCAATTCCCGACACCGGACAACGTAGTGAAAACATGTTTTCCCTACCCCGCACCACTCTAGGAACGAAAAGTGAAAAGGCGAGGCTGTGCCGCGGTCCGTGCCCGTCAGACTCGGCGCTGGGTCCTGCGGGAGGCTAGCCGGTGACCGTGGCGACTCTGGCCCGTACAGCAGCTCCGGGTCCCTCGCCCGCCGAGTTGGCCTATTTACGCCCAGCCCGCACCTGCCTCCCCGCGTCCCCGCGGCGGCAGGAGGGACGCCCTCCTCCCCGCCACCGGTGCCCAGAAGGCTAGGCTGGCAGCTCCGCAAGGGCGCAGCAGCGAAGTGGTCCCGGCGTCTCCCCCCGCGGCGCCGACGCCGGGGTCCTGGGGCAGCCCCCCTCGGGGGCCGGCCCAACTTGCCTCAGCACCCAGGCACCAGCCTCTCCTCCCCAGGCCCTCCTTACCTGGTCATGGCCCAAAGCGAGGTCCGCGGCGGTGACGCCCGGAGTCCAGCCGGGATGTGTGTGGGTGCGACAGGTGAGCCCCTGCCCCGAGCCCGCGGGGGCCCCGACCCAAGGGAAACCTGGCCGGATCGCCCTCCTCGCAGGGGAGTGACCATTCGCTCTCAAGAGCGGGAACCCGGGCTGCCGCTCGGTCCTGCCCTGCGCCGGCAACAACTACATCCCCGGAGCGGCGCCCGCCCCCGCCCTCCCCCGCCCCGGGATGGCGAGGAGAGCAAGAAGTAGTCCCGCTCGCCAAGCGCCTGAACCGCTAGGGTCTTTCCCACTCCACCACCGAGGGGAACTTGGCGCGTTTTCCTCAGTCTCAGGACCCCCGTGTTTTAGCCTCCGCCCGCGCCAGCACTGCGATTGGAGGTGGCGTCCCTCGAAAGTGCCAGTTCTAGTCTCCACGCTGCAGAGACGCGAAAGGCAAGAGCCTCCTCGCGACCGCCACTTGCCCCCCTGGCATGCACGGGCTCCGGAACCAGCTGGAACGGTAGTTTTCCCAAGATCCTAACGGGTTCTGCAGTTTCAAACAGCGCAGGCAGCGTCACGGGCAGCTCGCGCGGGTCCTTGCTGAGGGCGCGCGCGAGGTGCTGGAGGCCTGGCTGGCGGGCTCGAGCCTCACACCCTTTTTTTTTTTTTTTTAACCATTCGTGAGCGCGAGTTGAGGAAAGGCGTACGGGTCGGGAGACGGGACAGGGAGATGGGACGGGCTCCTTCCTCGGGAAAACGACGCTAGATGCTCAAATCCACCAATCTGCGATGAGCAATCCCCCAAACGTTGCCCCCCCACCACCACCCAGAAGGAGCCAATCAGAAGTACCTAGGCAAAAGCAAGTGGGTGGGCGGCGGCAGCCCAGCCAGTACTAAAAAGAAGAAAGGAGGACTCCACCAATCATTGCTGGAGATGCGGAGTACCCTTCAGGAGCAGGCCCCTCCCTCCGCTCTCATTGGCGTTCGAGTGCGCGGTTTCGCCGCCGACTGTTAAATCTCGCTCCGCGTTTTGTGAATCTTCGACGGCGGGACGCCTCCGCGGGCGCGGTTTCCGGAATGAGGCCCTCACAATAAGTCCCGCCCCCCCTTCTTGCGTACAAACTCGGGCGGGGTTACTCGGGAGACGAATTTCGGAAAATGGCTGACCGGTTTGCTTGGTGCTCGGCGCCGGGGCTTTCTGATCGGAATCGCAGCCCCAGCCCTGGGACCATCCAATAGAAACCAGCGCCGTCATGGATCACAGCTTATTCTCAACTGTAAACGGTAGCGCTGAGGCTCCTTCCTAAGCCCTTCCACGCCTCATTTTCTCCCGTTTACTCCTTTCCTTTCCCGGCCAGACTAGAAAACGAAAAGAGCACTTTAAGGCCCAGCTCTGGCTGCGAGAGCTGGAAAGGGCTTCTGCGCGAGCCCTTACTGTGGGGCTCAAATGCGGCGAACCAAGCCTTACCTGGTTTTTGCTTCCTTTTGTTGGTATGCTTACCTTAGTGAGGTGACTTCACAAAGCAAGGGATGCAATTAAACAGCATAAGTTCAGTCCAAATTCATTTAATCGAGCTTGTTTTTAGGTGCCTACCAAGTTGCAAGGCATTTTTCTATGCGCTAGGCACATGGCGTGAATGAAATACATTCCCTGCTCGGAAGGAGCTTTACATTCTAGGGAGGGGCAGAAGTTAAAATGATAGGATATAATGAGTGATAGGGAAAGGAGATAAAGCATGGGCAGTTTTAGATGCGATAGTCTGGAAAGACCTCTTTGAGCTGACATTTGAGCAGCTGAATGAAAGTGGAGTGAGCCTTGGAGGAATCTCAGGGAAGAATGAATGGTTCAGGCAAAGAGAACAAGTTTTAAAAAGTCCTCAAGCTTCACATGCATGGTGTTCTGGAAAGAAGCAAGCAGGCTAGGCATGGTGTTCTGGAAAGAAGCAAGCAGGCTAGGGTGCTTACAGCAAAATAAGCCTAGATGTGATGACTGTGGGAAATGAGATTAGGGACATCAGCAGGGCTCTGATTAAGCAGGGTGAGGAGATGGAATTCACTGGATGGTTTTGAACTGGGCAGTGGCATAATTTGTAAAGTGGCTGCTTGTGGTGGATAGATTGTTGACTTTCAAAAATGCAAGCAGGAAGGTTAGCTAGGAGGCTATTTCAGACACCCAGGAAATAAATCATTTGGCTTGGAATAAGGTAGCAGTGGAAATGTTGAGAAATGGTAGGATTCTGGATGTATTTGGGTTTGGTTGGTTGGTTGGTTGGTTTTAATCCCGAGAGAGAGCCAGCAAGGGTAGAGGGAGAGAGACACCCAAGCAGACCCTAGGCCGCCAGCACAGAGCTGGATGCAGGACTCCATCCCAGGAACCGCAAGCTCATAAGCTGAGCCAAAAGCAAGAGTCGGATGCCCAACTGATTGAGCTACCCAGTCTCCCCATTTCAGGATATATTTTGAAGTAGAGTCAACAGGATCCCTTGATAGGTTGTAACAAAACAAAGACAACAATGACCAGGGTTATTTTTTTCCCCAAAGCAACTGGACAGTGGTTGGTCTTTGCTAAAATGGGGAACATTAGGGTAGTAGCGGGTTTGTTGTGAGGGGGCATTGTTCTCACTAAAACTGAGATGCCTATTTTACAAACAGAAGTTGAGCCAACAGTCAGCAAGGTTGGAGCTGAGGGGAGAATTTAGATCAAGTGATATAAATTTAGGAGTCACCAAATGGTATTTAAAACCACAAGACTGGAAGAAATCACCTAGAGTAGAAATCTTTACCCTAAAAACTGCAGGGTATTGATGACCATTTCCCTTGCCAAGCCAAGAATTCTAAATCCAGACAACTGCCTCTTAATTCACCCATCTTAGAATCAATACCCATTCCAAATACTCATTTTAAGAGTAAGACTTTAGGGGCACCTGCATGGCTCAGGAGGTTAAGCCTTCAACTCTTGGTTTCAAGCTCAGGTAGTGATCTCGTGGTTGGTGAAATGGAGCCCTACATTGGGTTCTGTGCTGATAGCTTGGGTTTCTCTCTCCCTCTCTCTCTGCCTCTCTTTCAAAATAAATAAACTTCAAAAAAAAAAAAAAAAAGAGAGAGAGACTTTAAAGCTCCTAATCACTGAATTTATACAAAGAACACTATGACATACATAGTGACTTTGAACCTACTAAAGGGAAATTAATGCTACTATCACTTGGTAAAATAAGCTCAAAGCTAGGGTTTGAGCTCTTTCAAGGGGTTAACAATTTCTATTTGAGAGCAGAAAAGAAAGCACCTCACCTCATTTTGAAGCCAGTATAATGTTGATACCCAAAGTAAACAAGGACAGAACTAGACATATAATTATAGAATCATAGCTACTTTCAAATTCTACCAGGAGAGATAACCAATTCTAGTTTCCTATTATAATTTTCCTAATTCTAGTTCTCTTTAACAAATTTTTTTAAACATTCATTTTTGAGAGACAGAGGGAGACAGAGCATGAACAAGGGAGGGGCAGAAAGAGAGGGAGACACAGAATCCAAAGCAGGCTCCAGGCTCTGAGCTGTCAGCACAGAGTCCAACATGGGGCTGGAACCCATGAACTGCAAGATCATGACCAGGGCCAAAGTTGGACACTCAACCAACTGAGCCATCTGGGTGACCCTTCTCTTACCTTAACTAAGAACCCATTGTCTGCCGCCACCATTCTTCCTCTATGATTTATAATATCAGTCAAGATTCAGTTAAAGGAGAATACAATCCATTCCCCTGGTATAAGCAAAAAGAGTATTCAATACTTGGGAATGTTGATTAAATAGACTCAGATTAGTTTTCAAGAATGAGTCCCAAAGTCCTCACAGAACTGGCCACCAAGGGAAATATGGATGACTCTTTTATGATCAGGAAATGAAGACTCCTGAACGACGTTGTTCCTGCAATACCTAGGGCCCATGACCATCACAAAGCTGCCCGTGTTGCCAACTCCAGAGCTACACTACACTCACCGTGACCTGCTCTTGCGTACTACACGTGTTCAACCCTGAATGTTAGAGCCCACAGTACTAGTGGCTAGATATTGACACCTCTGCTAATGCTGCTCCATAAATACCAAAACCTCCATAACTCTGCTTGTCAGTAGCCAGAGTGGAAGCCCATGGATGTATGACGCTTGGTGTATCTGGCAATAATTCATGCAAAAATGTGAAAGGTCTCTGATCCTTTTCCTTTCACTCAGTACTATGTGAGAGACATTACAGCTGTAGTTCTTGACAAGATATAATTTTTAAGCCCAAAGACTCTTATATCCTGGCTTCCATGTGCAGTGCACCTACCTCACTCTTAATGACCGCTACCTTGGGGACATCTGGAACATGGGATTTAACAGTTTGACAGCATTCTTAATCCTATTTTTGTAAGCCTTGTATGGCTGAACGACAGGCACACTTCCTTCCAAGGCTTTTATTCACAGGCGGTTTCTGTGTGCTTTGACTTAAAAGGTATAAAAATAGTTGTTTTTGTTTCAGGCCTTCCAAATTACAGAACTCTTAATCCACTTAGATTATAGACAGAGTTACCCTCTTGAGAAAGCCGAATACCTTTTCATCCCTGCTTGCAGATTGACTAGCACTGGCCTGAGTTAATCTCTCAAAGAACTTTGCTGAAATTGGCAAAATTTTAAAGCCAGCAAATACCAAGATCTATAAATTTTTCCAATTATTTCCCTTCATGCCACAAACATCTTGCAACTGGACAGTAAATGTCACTAATTTTCCATGTTGCAATATCTGAATCTTTGCCACACGTTGCCCAAATGCTTCCACTAAGGCAACAGTACTTTTATGTTAAGGTCATGTTATGTGCTATACGAAGTTTATAGGGATCACATTCTGCATCAGATAGAAATAGGTTAACCTATGGAAAGTAGAATATGTTTTTAAAGTGTCCTCAGCCAAGATGAACATTTATTTCTTTATCACATAAACAGTGCAGACGTAGGCAGTCTAAATTAGTGGTGATTCCATGACCATCAGGGACCCAATTTCCTCCATTTTCAACATGTGGCTTCTACCTTCTGGTCCAGATGGCTACTTAAGTTACACTCATGATGTCTACATTTTAATAAGCAGCAAAGGGAAAAGGGGAAAGAAGATCATGCCTCCTCCCTTGAAGGATACTTCCTGGAAGTTGCACACACCACTCCTGCTTACAACCCATGGGCCAGAACTAACTTTATTCTCCATGTCTATATGTCCAACAAGGGGTCATAATATCAAGGAAGAAGTATACAATTGATATTGGAGGACAAATATTCTCTGCTATGCTTCTCCTTTCCTGGTTAAATAAAAGATTTCCCCAAGCAACTGAGTGGCTCAGTCGATTAAGCATCTGACTCTTCATATCAAGATCTTGTGGTCATGAGGTCGAGCTCCACCTCTGGCTCTGCTCTGAGTGTGACACCTGCTTGGGATTCTCTCTCTTCCTGTGCCCCTCTCCCTCTCTCTCTCCCTCTCAAAATAAATTAAAAAGATTTCTCCAGCTGAAGGAGCAAAAGATTTTTAAAAAAGTATATTGTTCGGTTCTTTGCAGAAGAGGATGTGCTCGATAACTCTGTTAGCCCTAGTAGTAGATACGGAGATGATGCTCAGAACACCCTTCAAGGTGCAGGGAATATCTCCAGTTGTCACCTCCATCACAGTCTACTTCAGCTGCAGAGAGAAGCCTTCCCCAAGGTTATGACATCTCCGGGGCAGC